GAATAAGAATACGACAGTGGATTCCTCTTGGCCAGCTGTAGATTGGCATTACTGGAACATTCATGCTGACGCTGTTTCCGAGGTAATCTCCTTTGATTCCGGTGAGAAGGTGCTAAGTTTTCGTCCGTCATATGACGAACATCATCACAACCGAATTCAAGCTATCGAGTCAAGAAAACTCACCGACAAATCTCTAAATCTCATATATACTCTATATCTGGCCGCTTTTTAGGTATTTGCCGGTGAGTATTATTGACTCATTAGCTTGAATTTGGTTGTGACTGATACCTTGCTCTGATAATGTTCGACATATGAAGAAGATCGAAGAAGATTAACTCGGAAACAGAGTCAACATGAATGTTCCAGTAAAGCCGATCGACAGCTGGTCAAGAGGAATTCGCCGTCGTCTTCTGGTGGAACCGACCTTCGAGCCAGTAAAGCCAATCGACAGCTGGTCAAGAGGAATTCGCCGTCGTCTTCTGGTGGAACCGACCTTCGAATCCTCGCGTCAGCATGAATCTTCCAGTAAAACCAATCGACAGCTGGTCAAGAGGAATCCGCCGTCGTCTTCTGGTGGAACCGACCTTCGAATCTCCTCAACAAACACTTTCACTCGAAGTGGAAGTAAGCACAACAATTATGAAACAAGATATTCCTCGAAACCAAACTTTTCTTCGCATATATTAAGAATAAGAATTGCAGTCCACTCTATACTCAATTATGGATTGATAAATTCCTTGTTGCAAACCGATCATTTTCTGCTTTGCGCGTCAGTCAAAGTGGGCATAAGGACTGGAACTCTTAATTTATAATTTGCACTTTGCTACCTGTACATGAACTGCAAGGTTATAAGGGCGTAAATCCATGAAACCTCAAGAAGGAATGGCTTTTTAAGTCGCCATCCAACAATTAATGGTGGTTTTAAATCATATGCATCCTTCTCATCCTTATCTTAATTGCTACCTCATTCTTCCTTGCTTGGCATTAAAATGTGTCATGAGAATATGCCCGGCCTTCCTTGAGATTCACGTCCGCCTTGTGACCCAAAAGCTCTCTTGTTAGTCTGGCGTAGTCGTTAACATGTCGAGAACATAGGCTGTACTATCATGGTTCGAGTCCCGCTGGAGATTCTGAGGAGGACTGGGCCAAGTCGAAATTACAGTCAACTCTTGCCTGAATGGCAATACCTATTGAGAAGCAAGTCTGTAAAATTCAATGGGAACGTAAGATCTACTTACATAATTGTGAGCAAATTCAACTACAAATCCTCTTTTCACCTGAAATAAAATAACCTGAATACAAAATTTAGATTAACACTGTCCCTAATGCAAGCTCCAACCACTACAAGAAAAAAAAACTTTCGTTTAGCATATAATGAAAATACTCACATTGGTAGCGTCGTTTCACACAACATGACATGGAGCTACCAGGTTGCATGATGTTTATAGACGACATTCTTAAGCCTCATGATCCATTGTTCCTCGAAAGATGACGTTGATCATTTAAGATAAATGAACAAGCTATCGGGTGGTCTGCTCTTTATTAAAGACCCAGCAACCAGGCGCAAATATATCGAGTCATCGAGTACTAACAAATCGTAGGCAACAGCTCATTCCTCAAGTAGGCAAGACGATCAGCTCAGCTGCCTCATCGCACAATGTTGCAGGAACTAGTCTGCTTCGGGAGGGAAATTGGAGAATCAACCCATTCATCCGTCAACTCCACAAGGAGATGATTTGGACACGGGAAGCTTGTTTCCTGGCATCACAGTTTCGTCGATGATCTTCTCTACAATAAATCTGACCGAAAGTCAACTCATGAGCTGTTATGAGATCTGTTTTTCTCTATTCAATTCATGTCAGATATTTTTTCAGCCCTTACTTATTGGGCGTGAGTTTCAGTGATTCTGGATCCTCTGCAAGTTCGAATGCAACCCGCTATTTTTAGAGCTTGAGGTATAGTTGAATTTTGCTCTTTGCGTAGTTTCCTTAAGTGTTGTACCACTCAATCATGTTACAAAAGATTTATTGTATCCTGTTGTCCAGACCTAAAGGCAATTTTAATTTTTCTAGAATAGCCCCACTTTTGAATGCTTATTACTCATTAAAATATGAGCGTAAATAATCATTTTGTCCTTTGCCTGAATGTCTTGCTTTAAGTTAATATGTCCTTTTTGGCCACAATCTAAAAACGCTTTTTTGGCCGAAATTTTCCGACATAAGCATTCATTCAGAGTATAGCCAATTATAGCGGATTGTATTTGGTTTTCAAGTAATTTTACATCGACTTTTCTGATAGGGGTTTGGGGTTGAAGCTATATTCATTATTTTTGGTCGTGTATTCCATAATTTGTCCATAGTCTTTTGTTACCTCGAAATCGTAGCTAAACTAAATTTTAAATAATTTTACGATATGAAGACCAAGATGGTCTCACCCTTGGTAGAAGAGAACTTTAAGCTGACACCGCGACAAGCAGCAGTGCTTATGCGGTACCTGGATGATTACTTAGTACTTTGGTCACATGGAGGAGAAAAACTGGAAGATTTTCTGAAATTTAAAAATCAGATTGATGAAGTAG